TGTCGGCTTTAAATTGACTCTGGATGTGCGATTTTCCAACAGTTCCTCATTTGTTTCATCTCAGCTTGTAAAAATGTCTCAGAGCATCAAAATGTACGTCAGAATTATCTTTATACTGTGTGGTATAATTGCACAGATACCAGTATACCATTCATGCTGCTGTCACTTAACTGGTTCTATTGGGTAACGTCCAACATTGCTAATGTGTGTGCCCCTGTTAGGATAAATCTGGATAACTATGTTGTTTTTTTTAACAAATCCCATAAAACACCAAAACAAATAATGAATTACTCCCACTAATAAGAAGATCCTGTTTAACCAAATCTGGATATATCTCATTCCTCTGTGCCATAGAGCTCCAAAAAATTATTTAAAACACAGCAGTGAGTCACACTGTTGCACTAGCTGACAGGTTCTTTCATTACAATAAACATGCACACTTTATTTAGAGCTGATCCCACTAGAGCAGCAAATGTGTATTCATTTGCTGCTGAAAATAGTCCCCCACAAATACACAATTTATTCCTGTTTGAGTGACATTTGTTCTAAACTAGTGGCCCTATATTTGGAAATGACTTAGCCTTTTTAAAAAATGTATAATAACTACTACTTAAAAACATTTCCGCGAAGACGCAGAGAAAGACCATTCACTATAAGTGATCTCTAAGAGATCAATAATGTTTTTAACAGCATTTATGAATCATTTCAGTCCCTGTCATGTCCACAAGATGTCAGTATCTGTAGTGCTGCAGGTTAGTAAGTCAAGTTGATCCCATCAGCTGGGATTTACTGTCTTTGTGGAGTCTAAACACACCACAATGCAAATCACTGTCACACGCATGCATGTGTGTTCCACAAATCACCCTGAATGGTGGAAGATTTTCACACCTATCGAGTGTTCAAATAATCTTCAGTGATTTAATTTTGTCCTTGCAGTTGGCCATTTCCCTCACAATGCCCGACTTTAGGTCAAAGTTTACCAGCCAGTGTCTTTGTCTGCATGTATGTGTCCACACATGCAGTCCAGGATGCACGCCAGAGACCAGGTCAGGTGACTTAAGCTAAGCTGGCGTGTCCAACCAAATGAGAGGGATTTGGGGAGGTCTGGCCCATGCTGCCTCTCACCCACCTCCACTTCCTACCTCCATTCACTAAAGCCCAGCCGATTAACTCCCTCAGATCTCTCCCCTTTAATTAGGAGCAAACAGGAGGATTGAAGGCAGAGCGACTTCACAAAGAAAATTCTAAAGAAACACAGTTTGGCAAATAAACAGAGAGAGTTATTACTGCTGACACATAATCTCATTATATCTCTTCTATGTAAAGATGTCAGTCTAGACATTCTAAATACACTGTCTAAAACAATGTTTACCCAGTTTGGGAGAGAAAAATCTTGCATTTCATGCATTTCATTTGAATTATGTTACACATTTCTAACAGTGCATTTCGAACAGATAGACGAGGAGAGGCGAGAAAATGAGCCACAACAAAACATACCTTATGGTTCCAGGATTTGCCTTAGCCAATAACATCCACCAAGATGCTCCAAAACTGTTTTTTTTAAAAACATCCGCCCTCGAAAATGTGACACTGACTCTATTAAGGCTCTGTCAGCAGAGGAAAAATAACACAAAAACATGTAATAGTAATTGCACCAGCAGGGTTTTGCTTGCTGTGTTTCTCCTCTGCCTTGTTATCTTAAAGTTATTTTGTGACCACATACACAAAATGAGGCACTTAAAAAAAAGGAAGAGAACAGAAACTTGAGTGGGTGATACAGAAACCCTGAAGGGCTTAAAAACAATATTTCAGATGAATCTGAAAGCAAACACAAACACTTATCAAGGGCTCATGTTAGACAAGACAAGAAGAGAAAGCAAATATCATTAACCCAATTCAATACAGTCTACATTATATTTTAAATTACATGCAGTTCACTTACACAGGCAGCTCATTACAATGATGTCAGGGCTCAGAGGAAACAAACATTTATATGACCCTGGACTCATCATGATGTTCTCTGGTGGAAAATAACAAAGTTAAGCAGCACACAGTGGTTTCAAGTTAGACCAAGGGACACACAGAGTGGCTTTTTTATCACTTTTCCCCAGAATCCTCCCCCTGGAAGCTATTAATTGCCTGGATGTTTGCATGGGAAGCCTCAGTGATGCAGTTTGCCCGCCATTGCAGGGATTGTGTGCGCTGGGCCCCTCCTCCTGAGGCATGCCGGCCCAGCAGGCACCATCAACTGTAATCCCAATGTGTTTGCCAAAGGACAAGGCTCTGCAGATGAAGGGCAGAGACATCAGGGAGAATAGAATGTTACCATCCAAACACTAGCTTTCCCTATCAGTATAACTCACATTTATCACATATAATATGGTCTCTCAGGGAAGTGATTTAACTTTATCATTAATATGAATGAGATGCAGGGCCTGACTGCTGGGCCTGGATGCTGGATTATTCAGTTGGAGAGGTCCAAAAATGTCATGATGGCGTAATGACGAACTGCAGCATGTGATTGGTGGACAGTGTGTCTAGATGGATGGGTGAGGAGAGTCGAGGGTGGGGCTTGGAGGAGGGGTTAAATGGAGACTGGTGAAGACGGAGAGTATGGGGGCTAAATTTAGCCAATGGCTCTGCTGGGGTGGAGCTAATCCTCTTTGCACTCGAATTATCTGGCCTTCGGATTAGAGAGCTTTGCCTCTATGCAAGACATCTACTCTCTATAATGATGTCCCATAGCAGGTCGTACCATGTTCCCTGGTGGGGGTGGATGAGTTTGGCAGACTGGCGGTTGTAATGAATGAAGAATTTGATTTAATGGGCCAATATTGTTCACTATTTGCTGTATAATGCACTGGTGTGACTGCCTTTTTCCATATAGTGACAATTGCCATATTTTACTGTAGACCAAAATTATCCCACAATGCAATGCAATTGCACATAACAAGCAGAGGTCTACCTCTGAAAATGATAATACAAATGGAACTTTGTGAAACTGGTCACAACAGGTAGAAACATGCAACCAGTGCAGAGGGGTCACAAGTAGGCATTCGCCTCATTTTAAGGGGTCGCAAGCTAAAAAGGTGGAGGAATTGCAGCTGTAGAGGATGCAAAAGGTGAGGAGTTTGCTCTGTCCATGCTACATACAGTATGTACACATTCAGGTGACTGCATGCTGCATCAGATGAAGGGGATGATGTTCACCACCAGTGTTAGATTCATTATTTAGATCTTCTACTTAAGTGGAAATACCACAGTGAAAAAGTACTTTGTCACAGCTCATTAGCTGCATTAAAATATTACTTAGTACAAGTGAATAAACAACACATTGCACTTAGAATATCATAAATAAAAGTATGCATCAACAGAATGGTCCCTCTCGGTGTAATGCTCATATATTATATTATTGGATTACTATTACTGATATATTAATATAGACAGAAACCACCCACAGCTCACCATGGGGAAAACCAAAGAGCTGGCGGTGGACTTCCAGCGCAGCAAAAGGGCCCCCTCCCCAGTTGCGATAAAAGGGGAGAGGGTAGCGATGGTGGACACCTACAAGTTTCTGAGGGTGCAACTCAAACTGATGAGAACTAAACTGGACTGAATGGACAACACTGAGGCCCTCTACAGGAAAGGACAGAGCAGGCTGTTCTTACTAAGGAGGCTCAGGTCCTTCAGTGTGTGCACTAGATAACTATGATATTGATGTTATAGCTGGTCATGGAGGAGCTAATTTAAGCTATTTTATACACAGACTGGGTATTATTGGGTAGTTTTAGTTTATTTATCAGTTAGTCAACTGACTAACAACTAACAAACAATATGAAGATGGCACCTTGGACTTCAGGAATTGTATCATTTAATGCTCAAGATACTGTACTAAGTAATGAGTACAAGTAACTACAGGTGCCTGAGAAATTGTACTTAAGTACAGTATTTGAGTAAATGGACAGCACACATTTACTTACCATTACATGAGGACAGTGTAAAAATCTCCAGCAAAAACACATTACATAAAGATGTTTTGGTCGAGTGAGACTGCAGACAGAAACTGGTGAAGGCCTCTTGAGGTCTGAGTAATACATCTATATTAAAAGCTATATTAATATTATATAATATACTATCATCTGGGAAGAGCTTGGCATGAATCCACCATATTATCCAACTTTGACTCCTGTTCTCTCTGTGCTGTCAGTCCTCTCTGCTCCCACAGTCCTTATATTTTCTGTATGTAAACCACAGGAATGATATGTGGTGCAGGAGAGCTGTTATTATCCACCTCCAGCAGTAGGTACCACTCATACACATCCATAATCACCTCATCCACACCCAGCAAAATGAACCACATGGCCTTCCTTCCTTCCTGCTTCAAGGGAAGAGGAATATTTTAGCCATTTTTCATGATATGCTTATACGGAGTGACTCAGGATGGATGAGCAGCTACAGTCAATGTCTTATTTAAGGACACTTGGACATACATTGCAGTGATGGGACCTTCTGGTTATGGGAAAGAACAGCTGATGTAACTATAGACAACCATTATCTAAATATGTCCTCCAACCACCTGGTGTAGTGTTCGAACGGGATCTCAAAATGTGCACACTCTTGGAGATCTCTTGACCGTGATTGCAGACCGCTGAAGGCCCAGATTGAAGTCTCCATGACAACCCTGCTGAAGTGTCTGTGAGCAAAAAAATCACCTCCACAAGCGCCGGCCCTGCTGTGGCAGCTGACGATGACCTCTGACCTCTCCGTAGAGGAGCGTTTGTAGAGGAGGATCAGTGAGGATCACAAAAACTCCTGTAGTGTCGCCACAGTTTGCAGTCAGTAGAGCCTGTTGCTATCTACACTTGAAGGACGGTACCATCGGGTACCGGAGGTGGGGGGAGTTAGTTCCGGGGAGTTTCCTGTAGGGATGAGCCCTGGTGAGGGAGGGGTTGTGGGGGGGGGGGGATCGTGAGGTTGGATCCTAATCCCTCAGGCTTGGCTGCAGCACGGCCTTTGGATAAACTGACATGTAGGCGTTTGGACATATGAAAATGCTACTTGGGTTTTAGCATTCTTTTATTTATGTTTGTTTTGTTTCCGAATTCATTTGTATATTAAGGGAATGCCAACTCTGGTAAGACAACTTTTATTTTCCTTGTTTTTTGTGCTGTGCCGTTTCATTTGTTGTTTTGTCACACACATTAATTAGGAAGTGAGAAATAATGCAGACCGAAAAATACCTGTGGTGCCATCATTTATTTTTCTAGCTTTATTATTCATAACAACATCAAAATAGAGCAACAGTTCTTCTTCAGCCATCATTATTTCCATGCATATAACAAAACCCATATGTCTACAGAATAAATTCTCATTCTGTCAACCTTCAGTCACCTTGCTACTTGATTAAAGCTGATGTGTAGGACAGAGGATACTCTCATATTTATTTCCAATGCATAGGAGGAATTCTACTGACTCTATTATCAGGATCTATTCAGTGTAGCATTTTTTGGTAGTAAAGGTATTGGCATAAAAAAAATCATGAGTGACATTTTATAAGGCCAAGAATGGCAACTCTTGCTCTGTAACTGACCTAGTGACAACATTTTACACAGAAACATCTTGCTAATAAATGTATCTGGCGGGTTAGCAGACAGGTCGTCCCCAGAAATTGCGAAGGATTGTCCTTTGACCTCTCGAGGTCACAGAGGAGCTGAGATTAAAATTAACTCACTGTTTTGACAGTTGAGTTACTTCAACAGCAGATTCAACACATGTAGTAGATGCAGTCTAATGGATGCTTTTTAAAAAATGTTTTTAACCTTTTATAATCTGTGGCAATCGAACCCCTCACCCTGTTGCTTAGTGGAGGCCTGCTGGAGCAAACTGGTAGAAAATGTCAGCCATTATTGAGGAAACTGGGCTATATACTTATGCCGATGACATCATGTGCAATTTTGGTAATTTCCAAGCAAAGAAAAGGATGTTTTTATCCCCCAAAAACTGTTCAGGTGGACACACTGCATCATTTTCCCATGTACATAAGATAAAGCACAAACAGCTGTACTTATGGTGACGCCCTTTTTCTTTAGAGCAACTCTCTTGGTTACGTTCCAGGTTTTGTACAGATAAAGACTGCCAAAAGATGTGGGTGGTAGAGTTGATTAATGATTTTTTCCCCATTTCCATACTCAAATATAATTATAGCTTACATCAAAGTGTGCAAATATGGGTGAAGAAAGTGAATAAATAAGCACTTCCCCAACTCTCAGTAACTACTGACGGGGTGCCCTTGAGCAGTGCACTTAGAGCTGATGAAAGGAAGGCAGAACAAGGCACTTGGAGCTGATTTGTGACCAGCAGTGGATGATTGTGGTTATACTGGGTGCATTCCAGGTGACTGGATGAATTAAAATGAAGCAAGAGCTGGAAAAAGTCTTCAATTGCTGGCTCCAGAGCAGCTTAACTGTTGTCTACTATGTGTGTGTGTGTGTGTGTGTGTGGGTGTGTGTGTGTCGGTGTGTATGCAGCTATTGTTACCACACACATTCAAATGTAACTCCACAAATGTGTGTGGTTCCGTTGCTCTCTGTAGAACAAGCTACAGTAACTGATGAAGCGGAGTTTGGCTCAGTCAAACTAATAAATGATCTGAGCACTAAAAGGTCACTTGTGGAATTGAGATAGCTTTTTGTAAATTACGCGGCAACCTCTCTGCTTCCTGTTAAACCCCAGACTCACATTGATTTTCATGATTCAGAGGAGCTCTTTGACTTTTCAACACCGGGGACGCTCTCAGAGGAAGGCAGATCATGACCTATTCAAACTCTGCACAGGCATAAATGCTGATTTGACATCTGAGTTAGTGTGTGTTTGGGGTAAGCGGGGTCAAGTTGATACATTGATAAACACAAACGCAGATCAATAAGTCTGAAGAGAAGGGAGAGGGAGGGAGACAGAAGGGGAAAGAGTGAGTACAGGCAGCCCAGCCATTATGTAAGCGCCAGCTGTGTGAGTAAAGGCGCTGCAGCAGGATGATGAAAGCAACACCGCTTCCCTCAACCACACTGACCATCCACCCTCTCACTTTCTCGCCTGAATCACTCATGTATTATTCACATTACTGAAGGAAAAAGCAAAAGGTGATCACATAATGGTACTGAAATTATACTAGTTACTCCCGGCAACAAAACTCAACACTGACTTTGGGATTTCAAAACTACACATCCAGGAGCAGCAAATACATTTCAGTGCTTCAATCTAGACTCCATAATCCACCGCAGCTATCGGCCGCCTCTGTGACTTCAGTGATGAAACAATAATGTGAGGCAACAAGGGCAAAATGAAAAAAAATCTGCAGTCTTAATCTGGATTAAATTACAGTGTTCGTCATCCTGGCCCCAAACCAGAACAGACCAAACCAAACCAAACCAACCCTCCACTTGTCGGATAGACTACAGTTGTTTCTGGACGTAATCAGTAATACCCATTTAAAGAAAGTGACAAACATAATCATAAAATACCATTAATTTAACAAATATCTGTGCTATACACAAACAGAATGTTGTAACATTATTATGTAATTTATGTCCTTGACAGGAACAATGTTAACATTTACAAAGATTTCTTTTTTGTTTCCACAGTTTTAATATACATTCCAAAACACCCTATTTTACGTGTTTCAAAATGTTACTAAAGAAAAAAAAAATCTTACACAGTAGTATTAGCTCAGACTTTTCCACTTTTTTTTACAAAGTAGATGTTGCCTACTTGTTTCACATCAATATTTCACTGGTTTCAGAACTATGCGAGACTAAAAGTGGAAAAAAAACAGCCCAGTCTTCCTGTTTTGTGTCATAAAGCAACCAGTTTTCATGCAGTTTTTGTTGAGATATAGATGTTAAATGCAACAAAATGTCAGATTCCTTAATTAAACATATTTAAGAAAGTGTTTTGAGCCAGTGGTCAATGTTAAAAGTAAGAGGAACATGTCCTGCTCCTAAAATGAGACAATGTAACTTTTGAAATAAGAAAAAATCAGTGCTGCAGCATTACATGGTCTGGTATGACCAGTAGCTTATTATAGTGGCTAATGTTTGTGTAATGTGGCAAACATTTATATAGATATTGTTGTGTAAGTGACATTACTGAGTCAGTTGACTGGCTTTATGACTCTTGCTACGATTGCTACTGCTACAACATTTCCGCCTTAACCATTATTCTCAAATGTTCACAGTTAAACTTAAATGGTTAGTTTTAAAGGCAGTACAGTGAGAATGTAAAGCAGTAGCAGCAGAGAGAAGTTAAAACAAAAAACATCTCTGGGCACACAGTTTAGTCACTTTCTTGTGTGCTGTATTTGGCATTCAGCCATGCAGCTTTGTTGCCTATCATTTGTTATCTGTTAGTCACAGAGGATCCAGCCTCAGGCTAACAATTTGCTTGATACTGTAAGAATATGGCTCTGACTTCACAGTGCAAGTCCCTTAATCATGTCAGTAATGCATGCGACAGCCCGCAGAATTCTTAAAACACAATGTAATTTGTTGTTATTGTCTTCCTATTGGTGCCACTGACCGCTATAAAAATCAAGACAGATCTGAATGTGTCATCGTTGCAGCAGTGTGATGGATCAAAATGGCGTCAGAGCATTTGAGCGAAGAGACGATGAGATTATCTGGTTGTGTGGAAGGACACACAGCCTACAAGAGGGACTGGGAGTCCTGAACTGCACTTTCCTGCCTAATGACACTTTTAGTTTCTCACTAGAATAATAACAGACATTTATTTAGGACTAGAGGTCCTTTACAAGTAGTAATAAATAACATAAAATTGTTGCGCTTGACATGAAGGGAAACTAAAGCAAAGTAACAAAAAGACAATCAACTGTGGGAGTGGAATTAAATACGATTAAAACAATTGCCCTTGCCCCTCTATTTGTACATGTCTATAGGTTTTCTAGGACTTTGTCCTTGGTTGAGGGTCAAAGGTCATGATGTGCCCTTAATGTTTTTTATAATATGATGTTGTGAAATCCCCTGAGACTGTAATTGGGACTTGACTTAGCAGGTCACAAGCCGTCCCAAAGGGGACTGTTGCATGGCAATGTTTCTGCTCTACCAGTGCATTCTTCATTGCTATTATGCTGACAGACTATAGATAATGTGTTGTGTGCATTGTGTTTTAGGTTCAGCATGCAGCACGGTGCAAATCAAGAAAGGCAATAGTCTTTCAACCGAGGCCTTAAATTTGAGACTGAGACCCCTCTGAAGATCGAGCCACAGAATACCTGAAGCTTCCTTTGCAGCAACACTGAGAGCAACTCACAGCTCCTTGGGAGGATTATGCCATTATAGCTGACAACTTGAGCTTTCTCAGAGTACGCCGGCTACAAGGCAAAGTTAGTCCTGCTCCACTTACACCCAGCAGGAACCATGGATGACCCTTATCACAACAATGTGAACCAGCAGGTGACAGAGGGTGGAGAGTACACCTACACCCAGGATGGAGGAGGTCAGGACGGTTACCCTTACCAGACAGACTACCCTCCACAGGAAGAGGATGCTGCTAGCGATGACACCGAGGGTGCGGATGATGATGAGCAGATGTATGAGGGGGAATACCAAGGCATCCCCCACCCCGACGAGATCAAGGAGGCACGGCGGGCAGCTCGGCTGGAGGCCAGGAGGAAAGCCCGTCTGGCTGGCCAGCAGCAGGAAGAGGAGGAGGAAAACCTGCCAGATCAGTACGAGGCCATTATGGAGGACTGTGGCCACGGACGATTCCAGTGGATGCTGTTCTTCGTGCTGGGCCTGGCACTAATGGCTGACGGTGTGGACGGCTTTGTGGTGGGCTTCGTCCTGCCCAGTGCTGAGAAGGACATGTGCATATCCAACTCCGACAAAGGATTGCTGGGTAAGTGACAACGAATGGAGGGAAGATGTAAAAATTAAGGTTTGTGCTGAGTGTATGTGGTGAGAACATGGTCCTGGTCCTTATCTAACCCCACTGTGCCAGATTTCTTGTTGGACAGAAACATTAAAGTAGTTGTAGAAACTGTTAACTACTTGTCAGGTGATTGGATGAACCATCCGTCTATCACAGGCAAAATTCAATCAGATCAATGAACCATATAACATAGTCAAACTCTTACCAAAGCCAGTTGGGGAAGAGCTATAACCTTTTCCATTGAGAAAAGGTTATAGCTCTTCCTCACTCTCCAGTTCTGGCATAACATATGCTGGCAGCATCTAAGCTTTTCGAACAGTCATATTGGTGCTTTGAGCTAAATGCTAACATAAGCATGCTAATATGCAGATGTTTAGCAGGTACAATGTTTACTATGTTCACCATTAGTTTAGTGCAGTAGCAGGCTAACATGTTGGCCTGATGATGGCACTAGAGGAGAAGTAGGGAGTTAGCAACATGAATATCTATACTAAATTTCATGGAACTCCAACTGTTGTTGATGGACCAAAGTGGTGAACAGACTGACTGAAAAAGCGCCATTGCCATCCCTGGAGCCAAGCAGCTAGCAACACTGATTTATCAAACAAATTCCTCCAAAACAGATATACAGTCTTTGGAAATCTACAAGACTAGCTAATTACAATCATCTGTGTCATTCCAAGAGTTCCGATCTTTACCCAAAGAGGAGCCACTCATCAGTAAAAAGATCTTCTGTTTTGCTTGGCTGAAGCAAAATCCTGCATATGTTTGGCTCTCGATGGCACATGGTTGCAGACCACTGCGTGAGACAGAAATATGCCCCAGCCACTGGGACAAATTATGGAAAGAGGCTTGGATCCTTCTAGGCAGATGTGAAAATTACCAACATTGTGTGTAATAATAGAGTGTGGGTCCACTGTGAGCCACCGGATTGAGTAACCAGATACTGAGCCTTGGCAGTGGTACCACAAGTGTCTGCAAGTTGACTTGAGGGATGCCGCACAAGTTAATTGTTTAATTATATTAAACACCATAGAGAGAATTAAGCACCTGTTTTCAATATACTTTGAATGTTTTCAAAATTTCAGTTGCCTGCTAGCTTAACTTGTTCCCAGATTTTGTACCACAACAGTAAACACTGAAATTGTATGCAGCAGAGATCCAACATACGGGGAAATGTACCTTGAAAATGCCTGTTCCTCACTTTGTGTGCTGACAACTAAACTGCAAATTAAAGCCCCTCACCTTATTTCCCAGGCCTCGTGTGTAGCCAGGCGATGTGGCAGATTGCACATCGCTCATTTCATCTTAACAACATGCGCCTGGGATGAGGCATTGCAAGAGATTGATGAGGAAGCCCGGTGGTGATTGTATTCAGTGTGTGTTCCCAGGCTAATATGGAGCATGTTGCAGCAGTCAGAGAGCCTGGCAGCCTGCAGCGCCCGGTGCAGAGCTGTCAGATACGCTTCAGGCCTCTGACAGGCTACGGTAGCGGGAGGAAGGCCTGGCGAAAATGAAATCACAGCGTCTGTGCAGAGCGGCGGGGAAGCACTGATCATTGGCTGAGAATATGAAGTGGATGTGTAGAATGATCCTATCTGATTCATGCTCATGCTCTGTTCACCAGACTCACGGGAGCAGATGTGTGTTTAATCTCAACCTTTGTCTTGGATACCAGACAGACTCCCAAACCTTTTGTTAAAAAGAGGAGGATGGTTGGTCCACTTACTTTTAATGGTGGTTTTATTGTTTAATCTATAGAGTGGAAATACATGAAGGCTATAGTGGGAGACACAATGCTGGAGACAAAGAGGAGAACCTTCTGGCAGGTTTGTGTCCCAGGCTTAATGTAGTTGCAGAGATTTAACCAACTATTTCAAGGAAGCTGCTAAACTTGCAGCTGCTTCATTTCTTGAATCAAACTGGATTTGCAATTAAAAAGTTCATGCATAAACTATGAGATGGTTTTATGACGCTTCCCTGCTGCAGATAAGGGATATTCTAGAATATCTTCTGTGCTTGGTATTCATAGCTGTCATGTTTTGCACTGCACCACCCAGAAATCACGTCAATCAAGATGTCGAGTTTGACCTTGTACAGGTTTCTTTAGATGTTCTTTCTCTAGGCAATGACAGCTTCACTGCTCATGCAAGTCATCCAGCTTTTATTCTTACTTACTTCTCACTCCATACAAACTGCTGTGACTGTTGCATGACATGTAAAAAAACATCACTTCTTACCTACCAGAAGACTTTGGATTGGTTTGCACCAGCTTGCCCAAATTCATTGTGTGTTAAGTTCTTTGTAACTACTACCTTGTTTCAAACGGGTGATTTACACAATTGAGCTGCGCCATTAAAACTTAAGGAATGCCTTAGGTAGTGAAGATGACAGTAACGTCTGTCTAATAAAAAGCAATTAACAGTGTTAACAGGAAGCACTTTGGTATCCTGGGCTTCCCAAAATAACAGTTTATGGGGCAATATATTAAATTTAACTGTTGTTTAAATGTGTTTTGTAAGAATTACATTTTTTTCTTTATTCATGGAGATATATGTTTCAGAGTTGGTAGTATTCATGTAGTTTAGAGTGAGCAGGAAATATCTTATTTTGCTAACGTAACATAACGACATAACATTTTTGGAATATGTAACATTTTGTCATTTGAGATTAACCGTGTTATTTTTGTTGATTGTAATATAAAATCTTTCCAGTTTACATTATCATTTGATCACGTGTCAGGTCAGATGTGTTGACCATATCCCATTAGTTTATCTATTTTACTCTTAAATTGAAACAGGTCATATATTAGCAAGCTAACGTTAGTTTTGTCAGTGGGTTCAGTTAGCTACGCAGCACTTTCGCCTTCCTGTAAATGTAATAATATAACAGTAATAATAACTCTACTATATGAGAACTAGTTTGTGCATTGCAGCCTGTTTTAATTTAGTGATGTGTGAAATTCCCACCTAATAAACACCTAACTAGACTATGTCTGACTTTGAAAACAGTTGGTGCAGCGGCTCCAGGCCAGAAATTGCTGCCATTTTCATTCACTGGCCACAAATTCAATTAGTAGTGTTAAGTCAATCTGAGATAGAGAATAGCAGAATTGACATAACAGGAAAATGGAGTGGATTGTCACTTAAATACTTTTCACTGTTATCAAGCCATTTTGGAAAAATGCTGCTGGGTTTTTCATTGTTCAGTTATTCCAAAACTCATATTATGTAAAATTTTACCGGGTTGTTTAAGTAAAGAAACTGAGCCCGATGCTGCAACATTTGTAGGGACTTATTACTTAATGTCTATATATGTGTAATGGAACTAAAATTTAAACAAAACTGACGTGAATGTTTCGAGGATGCATGCTCTGCAAATGTATGCAGTCTTTTTTAGTAGATTCATTGTCTCTTCAGCTAGATGCACTAAATGCACCAACAGTTCTTTCACATTTAATATTGCAGGAGAACCTCCTCTGTCCCCTCAAGGGATTCTGTGTCTTCACCGTGCTCAAGGACGTTTTAACAGGCAGATAGAAGCTTGTTGCTGCAGGGCCTGATCCTGGGCCTCCACCTGAAGGACAGTCTCTCTAATCTAAAGGCCACCCTGTCAACCTGTCCATGTACATATCTAAGGCATACACAAGCCCTTAGGCAACAACTTGGCAATGATATTAGGTGACATGTTAGCCTTGACTCTTTGTCTCCCGGTGCCCTGAGCAGTCTCTTGTTGAATGAGTTAAGGATGTGCAGCTTGGCGTGTGGAGCGCTAGAGCATTTGGATAGTCTAGTAATCCACAGGGAAGGTGCACACTATGGCTCCACGTGCCGTTAAGCTGCTTAGTTGCACTGTAATTAGGGTTGTGTGTAGTAAAAACACAGAGCAGGCAGGAGGTATGGGTCCAAAGGTTTAAACAACACTGCGAGGAGGATGGCCGATGTTGCGTGTTTGAGTCCTGACAACGACAGCAGGGGAGAGAATATTACTCTCACCAAAAAACATAAAAAGGAAACACATAATCATTATTATCTGCTTGGTGCAGTAATGGGCAGCACAGTTGGTCACTGTTAAGGGCTGTTGCCTTACAAGAAAAATAAATGGCAGAGTACACCTCCTGCCTAGTGCATGCTGGGGTAGGCTCCAGACAGCTGTGACTCAGAGGGAATCTGCAGGTAAAATGTGAGAAAAAGAACTCAGCATTGCAATCAAAGTAACAATACAGTTCTGAGTGTCACATGTAAACAAAGCTGAAAGCAGATGTAGGAATATGGAAGGTGAACCTGGTGGAAGTGAAGCACTTTTAGGTGCCTCAAACTTATTATGACCTTTCAGTCTTTTCCAGAAATGCTATAATCAGTAGATATTTTTCTTGGTGTGTCATTATGGACATTTGGAAACGTTGAATTGGAGCACGGATGAGAGGATACATCCTAGTGAATTACAGTAGTAAGTGTTGTGAGTTCTCTATTCCTGTGTTCATACAAGGGTAAAGGGAGCCCCCTTGTGGACATCAGGACTTTGGCCTTTTTTCTTTCTTTTTAATTACAGATCTAATTTAGTCAGTAAGTCCTTCCAGTGATATATGTGTGTATGTATCCGCAGAGCCTACACAGTGTGTACATTATGGGAGTAAAACATAACTTGTGTCTTGTGTGTTTTTATTTGCAGGTCTGCTGGTGTATGTAGCCATGATGGTGGGGGCGTTGGTGTGGGGGGGTCTGTCTGATAAGATGGGGAGGAGGAAGTGTCTGATCTATGTCCTCTCCATCGACCTGGTCTTCTCCTTCCTGTCCTGCTTCGCTCAGAGCTACGGCTTCTTCCTCTTCTTCAGGTTCTGCTCCGGCTTTGGGTGAGACACAGTTACATTACCATTTACATTCATGTTCGCATTTGCATTTGCCTCGCTTGAGCAAAAGACTACTACAATGACTAACCTTTTTCCATAAATAATCCTTTCAGTGGAAGCAAGCTTGTTCGTAACATTTAGGGGGAAAAGCACATTCACAGTAATTGTATTTGAAGATTTTTGTTCCAAAATAAGATACCTGACATTTAAGTAAGATGAGTAATAGGTAGCACTTCAATTAAGACAAACTGTGGACCTTTAGGAACAGCCTGAGGTAAAGAGAGGACATATTCTAGGAAAACAAGTCAACTTGTTAGTTGATATTCCTCTTTAATGTGCCACATATACATTGTAAGCTGCACACGGGTAGATTTATTTTTATTTACTTCAACAGAGCATTTCTTTATTATACCAATTAAAACAAGTGAACAATGCTCTTTGCTTGTTTTTAATTTGAGTTTTATTGCTGACTTCTTGCAGTTGTCAGCACCCCGGTGCAGTACACAGATTGATTTTGGATCTTTCAAAGGCACATTTCTTTTGATAATGATTGTAGCCTGAGTGTACCCAGACCTGTAATATTGATGCCTGGGCTTTTTGCTTAGCCAAAAAATACAAGGTCGCCAAAATAAAACGTTAAGCTGTTGCTGATTCACTGTGATAATGAGCCCCATGTTGGTCATTAACACTCACATCTGCAGAAGAACTGCGCCTGTTTTGCTGGATTTAATAAAACATAAAGAGCAGGCTCCATACCCAAGAAGATACAAGAAGATTTCTTATCATAATAAAAAAATATATATAAAGAAACCCATTAAAATGCCAATGATTGTCTTCATACTGTAGTGGTAAGAGTTTTCCTGTCCTTCATTTAATGTGATTTCAGTATGTTTTTCTTTTTTTTTTTTTTTTTTTTTTTTTTACAGTTTTTAGGTCTGTTAAAATACATTTCTAATTATGTTTAAAAGGCAAATGTGACTATAATATATATATTTTATTTTTTATTTTTTATTTTTACCAAATACTGGTCAGTCCTGGCGTTATACTGAACACTGAGCGCCCTCTGAACAAACTGACTTTTACAAGTATTCAGTTGCCATCAGCAACTCCTCATTATCTCAGAAAAGGCATTTTATCATAAGTTTTTAGAGCTGACTTTTCACAGTCTGTGTATTTGATGGATGAACTCATGGTTACAGTTTAGGTCTGTTGACCTGACAGTAAAACTGTTTTTAAACATTCTGAAAAAGCATTTGCTACATAAATTGTTATTGTTAACATTTACATTTATTTATTTTAAACCTTTATGCTTGCATATTTTATTTTTTAAGCGCTGTCTGCAGTTTTCAGAGGAGCTATGTCTTCACTAGAAAGTAGTTCAAAATGTTCTACAAATTAAGTCCATTCACCTCCAGTGTGTTGGGATGGAGGCAGAGACAGACATCTCAGAATCTGGACAAATAAAACCAAAAGTTTCTGCAGAGCTAGAAATCTGTAGTAAGTGAGATGTGGGTGTTTTAAAATAAGAAACCTCTCGTAAAGCCATCAGAATAATGAGCTTACAGTCCTTTATCACTAGAATTAAGCTGCAGTTAACATGTCAAAGGCCAACCGCCAAAGCAAATGTTTCCTTAAATCCTCAGAGGATGATGGACAGAATAAAAGTGTTTCGTGCGGAAGAATAAAAGTAGATTTTTTTCTTCCTGCAATTTCTCCCCCAGAATTGGCGGCTCCATCCCGATAGTGTACACCTACTTCACAGAGTTCCTTCAGATGGATAAGCGTGGAGAACATCTGAGCTGGCTTTGCATGTTCTGGATGATGGGAGGCCTGTACGCCTCCTTCACCGCCTGGGGGATCATCCCTCACTATGGTAACAGACACAAACACTGAAAAGGTTTATTTTACTGAACTTTCACTGTGGACTGAACAAAAGGATGTGTCTAAATGAATTTCTTACATCCTCTTTGTGCTTCTTATGCTTCAGCTTGCAATGTTTTCCCTGCAATTATCTACTAAATATGAATAATTCACATCAAATATGTGAAAACTTGGAAATCATTCTGTGGGAGTCCAAGATGAACCCAAAGTTGTCTGTGTGTAATTGACTTTTGAATCCGCACACTTCATCAAATGCAAATTATGTACATACAGAAGATGACAATAAAGATGGGCTTTGTTGCACTACAGTAATAAAGTGATTTGGACATTAAAATATGCCAGACAGATGGATTTACATGAAATATTAACATGCTTTTTACTGGATGGTTTTTCAGGCTGGGGCTTTGCCATCGGTTCTGAGATCCAGATGCACAGTTGGAGATTGTTTATTCTCGTGTGTCTCTTCCCTGCGCTGGCTGCCCTTGTCGGAATCATCTTCATGCCGGAGAGCCCTCGTTTCCTGCTGGAGGTCAGACTGTCCCCAGATTAAAACATGCAATATTAAAATATATGGTCTTATTGTCCGTTTCAGCTGCAAAACATAAAAGCACATTTATCTGTACTGCCAAGACAGGATCAATTAAGAATAACCACAAAAATATTGAGATAAATGCTCCCTATTCTTATATTCATTATGTCTGTGTACAGTATTAAACATCAAGCTGTGATTGGTTAAAAATGTTGAGCCATCAGCCACCACAGCAACATCCCACTGCTGTGCAAAGGTAACGAAAGGCTGCTAAGGCACCACCAGGGACACCACCCACCCTGTTTCTCATCCAGGACATTGTCAGACCTTTAACCACATGTGGTATTGTATTTGTATGTTACAGCAGGGCTGCTCCAACATGTTGATATCACACACCCCCAAATTATCACACATCTCCCCATCTGATAAGAAGCAGACTTCATGGGAACGATTACTCAACTGAGTCTGGCAGGCTGCAGTGTGTGTGGGAAACAAGAAACCCTGAGAGCTTTCACTCTCTTGGAACGTTGGTTGTGTCGACATTCATAGATACGTTTCCATGTGTGGCTTTGTTTTTCAGAATGCCCGACATGATGAGGCATGGATGATCCTGCGCCAAGTTCACGACACCAACTGGAAGGCCAAGGGGGAGCCAGAGAGGGTCTTCACTGTAAGCCTTTATTTATACCAACACTGCTGATTGCCCGACCACTAACCATCACTTATGGAATTTAGCAGTTGATTAACAAAATTAATGTAACTAGAGGCGTTACATCGGATCCTCAGCGATCATAAATAACATAAATGATTGTATTCTCGATGGCTGCGGTGCATTTAGGTTTTCAAGGCCCTGCTGTCGTGCATGCCGACTTATTGTCGTGGTTTATTGAGACACCTGAATGTAATGTAGCCACCATTAATGTTTTTGGTTACACCAGTGATTTTAGTCAAAGACTGACATTTGTTTCAAGTCAATCTGTCTTTATAGTGTGTTCATTATCATTAAACCCTGTTTCAAATCTTTTAATTAAATAATGTGCTCTGAATTCCAGTTGAGGATGAAGTTATTGATTATGTGTCCAAACTCCTCTCTCTTTGTGAAGGTGACCAACATTAAGACTCCACAAACTCAGGAAGACGAATTCATAGAGATCCAGAGTGACACTGGAACTGCCTTCCAGCGCTGGACCGTCAGACACATGACCATGCTGCAACAGGTCTGCAGATCACTCCTAGGCTAGACTCAAATAGAACAGAATAGCCTACATAGAATAGGAAATTAACTTTGCATTTGTCTTACTTATACTGAAACTGTGTTTTCATCCCCTTTTCTCTGCATATCTTACATGTCTATCTTAATTGTCTGTCCCTCTTTCAGGTTATGGCTAACATAATGTCACTATCAGCTCCAGAGCTCAGACTGCAAGGCCTCTTCCTGGTTATTGTCTGGTTCTGCTTGGCATTCAGGTAGCAACAATGAAATAAAGCCTGTAGACCCACATTGAGAAATTTGGCAAAAATATCTCAGTAGTATACACTTATATCCCTGCTGCTTTGTTTTTTTGTTCAAATCATGCATTTTTGAAAGTGGATATTTGTAAAGTTCTCCCAGGCAGAGCTAAAGAAAACCATTTTCTTACTTCCTGTGCCCATGTGATAAAATCTAGCTATGCAGAGCGTTTTTTTTTTAATGTGCTCAGGTTTTTTTGTTTTCTATGTATATCAGTTACCACGGGCTGGGAGTGTGGTTCCCTGATATGATCAAGTACATGCAGTATGAGGAGTACGAGTCCAAGGTCCGAGTGTTCCACCGAGAACGGGTCGAGCGGTTCCACTTCAACTTCTCTCTGGTTAACCAGATCCACCGCGAGGGAGAGTACATCCATGACAAGTATGTTTCCTCAGCACCGCCCCTCATATATATAAACATATGCTCATATTATATTTGGGTCATGCTCTTTAAAGTCACAGTTCAAAATTGAGATTGCGATTTCTTCCCTTTTTTAGGTTTGCAAACATTGAGATCAAGTCTGTGAAGTTTGAGGATTCTCTGTTTGAAAACTGCTACTTTGAGGATGTCAGGTCAACCAACACCTTCTTTGAGAATTGCACCATCAAAAACACTGTCTTCTATAACACAGGTATCAAAAATTCATCATGAACGATTGTGATAAAATTCTTAAGATGCTCACTCCTTCAGATTTAGGGATAAATAAACTCAACTTATTATTGCTATATAAAAGATATATTAAATGTTAATGCTGCCCTAAAACAGTAAATTTAGTGAAAGACTTTGCAATGTGTTCATCCTCTAGCACTAAGGAGAAATGTAAAAAAAATACCCCAAAAACTGTTAGCATTCCCTCCTTTTAAATCCCTCTGTTCTCTGCAGACCTCTGGCAGGAAAAGTTCAAAGACTGTCGAATGGAGAACACCACCTTCCTCCACCCAAAGAAAGGCTGCCATCTGAACTTCCAGGAGGAGAACGACATCGTCATCTACATGGTCAGCTTCCTGGGCAGCTTGGCTGTGTTGCCTGGCAACATCATCTCCGCATTGTTCATGGACAAGATAGGAAGAATCAGAATAATAGGTGGGTGTCAGCACAGAGTGGTATAAGTACAGTAACCAAGGCCAAATCTGTATCAGTATTTCATCATCTGTCTTTCTTTCTAGGTGGCTCTATGTTGGTGTCGTCTGCCTGTACTTTCCTGTTACTGCTAAGTTTCAGTCAAGGAGCTGTCATATGTTGGCAGTGCCTCTTCTATGGCGCCAGCGTGGCGGCCTGGAACGGAGTAGAAGTCATTTCTGTGGAACTCTACCCCTCCTCTAAAAGGTACGGTCTAATTCAGTCCCACGGGGTGAAAGATCCAGAGTGATCTCTACCGTACCACAGTTGATTTCTACCCACTCCCTGTAAGGTTTGTCCCAGTTAACCTTTCAATAAACCCCTCACCCAAACAGCATGGCAGTCCTGTCAAGCTTTGAATGTCTCCACATGTTCAAGTGTTGTGCATGGGGCTTTAGTATGGGAGACAGTTAGTGTCTAAAGCATTTGGTCTTTTTTATATTACCAAACGAAAAAACAAAAAAACATGAGAACAATGTATATCTGTTCTAGTAGCCAATGGTGGCATGCCCAGCTAACTAGCTTACATAACTACAGTAGTAGCGTTACTCCCAAAGCCAAGCAGCATGTGATTTGCTAAACCACATTGTTTTGTGGGTTTGCTTTCTTTACAAGATAAAGGCTAAAGACTGGAACACCTACTGTACCAGAGTTTAGGCTACCATTAGCTCAGTCCTGCTCTTAACTAATTAGCTAATGCTAACAGTTGGCTAATGCAGTTGATCTGCTAGAGACAACCGCCATGTAGACGTTTTTTCACAGCAGCCATTTTGCTATGAAATAGTAGAGTAAACACAGGTGTTACTAATCATACTAATTAACGTGCTACTGCGCATGTTGGCTCACTGTGAAAGGCTCTACTACACTAAATGGAACAGGGCCCTAATTAGTATCATTGGTAACATTGTAATTGGTGGTTGTCGACTAGAAAGCATTAGCCTGTTATCTTTTGTATGAAATCGAAGAGCCGTTGTTTGACAGGAATTTCATGTTTCAACTGGATAAAGTCGGCTTCTTTTATCATTCTAAATGTGCCGTGTTCACATTACGGAGGGTCGGAACAGTCGATTTAACCCCTGTGTTAAGAGCTACATGCTAATTTAACCTCTGCCATAAAAGGTACAATTGTGCCTCTCAGCAAAGAATTTAAAAGGACATTTCACTCAGACGGACAAAGACAATCTGATCTGACGACTTCATTCTTTTTTGCCAGCACACATAAAACTTTTACATTTTTACAATATTTATCGAAATCTTTTTAAGATAGCAATTCACTCTCACCAAGAAACAAAATGAGTTGCGCTGTCGAATCATATTCAATTCATCAGTCAGGTATGGAAATTTTGCATCTAATCTTCCTTTGTCTTTCTGATCCTGCAGAGGGACAGCGTTCGGTATCCTGAATGGGATCTGTAAGTTTGCAGCCATCATTGCCAGCTTCATATTTGCAGCCTTCATCGGCATCACTAAGATCATCCCCATCTTCCTGGCCTTCTCCGCCCTCGTCTGCGGAGGTCTGGTAGCTCTAAAGCTGCCTGAAACCCGGGAGAAAATCCTCTCTTGAGAAGCCAAACTCCTGCAGCCCCCAGACCCAGCCACAGTGTAGCTACGGGGAAAGCTTTTTGGGAAAGTGTCAGCTTAAACTGAAATGGAAAGACAAGGAAGAAATGCCATGCTGTGCTAGCTGTGTTTATATGATTAAAAATGTTGAAAACCTGTCTGGTTGCCTATGTGAACCTGTGGTTGCTTTCTATTCCCTCTGTAAGCTCCTCAGGCTGCCCAGCATTTCTGTCACATCGTATAAAGCTAGTGTTTGTCATTTCCTTTTAATCACTTACTGTCCATCTTCCATTTACACACACACACACACACACACACACACACACACACACACACACAGTGTAGCAGCATTTGTTTTGTTTGAGGTTTGTGTAAAAGAAAGATTAACGTGAGATGAAAATGTGTCCGTACTTGAAAGGTGATGTAGTTCATGTTACCATGTTGTGCTTTGAGTTCATTCCCTGTTGGAAAAAAAGGAAAGAGAGAGGACTTATAGTCATAACTTTGAGGATTTGAATCCGGTTGTATTCACTGCCAAGGCTCAGCAGCAATATTACTGCTGGTGTTGTTATTCAGAGAAAACACCTCTTTTGTTCACCCAGTCTTTATTTATTCTGCACTGTCCTGTGGTGTATATAGTGTTCTTTAGTTCACATGTCTTGATTTGTTCTGTCTAGACCCAAACCTGGATTGCCCATTTTATTAAATGTAGGAGTTTTTTTTTTTTATTGAATCCATTACAGTTTATTTCTCCCAGCTGATCCAAATCCAACCTGAACAGCCGACTGGATTTTCCTCCTGTTTGTCGTCTTGTCCTCGACTGACACGTCATGTCTGTTCTTAACTGTAGAGCTGTGTTCTGTAGGTGGTGTTAATGTAGAGTCTTACCTGTCACATCTTGCCATGACAAAGTGTAAGGAATCGTTTATTCATTTATTTTTTCGTCTTTTTTTCTAAAAAAGAGTGATACAAAACTGTGAGACTAGATGTTTTGATATGATGCTCTCATTTTAACGTTCTGATGAAGAACAGTTTTACAGAACCTGCTGCATTTCTGACAACATGTGTCAAGATTTCTAAGGAGCATGTTACTTTTTTGGCATGACTGAGCTGTGTGTGTGTGTATGTGTGAGTGTGCGTGGTTGTTCGCCACATGTCTGTGAATTTACTGAAACACAATAGTCTGACTACCAATGCTATATTTGTTGTTGTACATACTGTAGACCTGTGTATATTAGTTGTAAAATAGTAGCTCCATCATGACTTGAATAAAGCTGAGGGCTTATGATCCAGTTTCCTGGTTAATAACAGATGCAGAATGTGCAATGAACTCATTTTGAATGTTAGAGAGTTCCAGGTTTGACTTGAAGAAACACTTTGGGACATTTTGGGGAATAGTAGACTTAAAGGTGTGGTCCGTCAATCTGGAGAAAGAAAGTCCATTGTTGAGTCTCATTCCCAGGTTGTCCAGTACCAACACTTTAAATGGTAAATGGGAAACAAACAACGTGGCTAGCCGCACAGAACAATAGGTGGCGTTGGCGCTCCGGGGTTGTTAAATACCGATGCTTTGGCAACGAGACAATGAGACTTACCAATCAGCTATCTTTCTCCAGAATAACTGACCCCCGCTTTAAATGAGAAGCTTGATTCTAGTCTTATATCTGTGTGTGTAGAGCTAGAACCAGCAGCCTGTTTAAAACCGCTTCATTTAGCAAAAGGCAAACAGCTAGCCTCACTCTGTGCAAAGATAACAACTGTATGTTCAGACAGAATGTGAAGTGAATTTTAGTGGCAAGATTTTTACAGAGTCAATAGAAAGACACAACACGAATTGATTCAAAGAAACATACTGTACATGCAAGTTGAAAATGTTCCAACTTGAGGGAAATAACAGAACTGTTAAAGAATTCACAAACACTCCCGCTAACACGGCCTGTCTGTTGCTAGCTACCTTACAGATAACTCATTGCTACGTTGGCTGTATGGGGAGAATAAACACAGTCCAATGGTCAAATTTGTGCAAACGATATCTAAGCTTGAAGCTCACTAGTTAACATGTTATTTATCTCATTTCATTATTTCTTGGCTAGACAGAGTAGCTTTTACTTTTGGAGAGGCTAGCTGTTTCCCCATTACTTGTGCTAAGCTATACAGCTGCTGGCTATATATTTACCGCAGGCCTACAAACAAGTATATACATTTTCTCATCTCATCTGGCAAGAAAAACAAGAATTGGTTATGTATTGTGTATGCACTGATGCCTTTACACAAGTTCCTTACAGATAAATAAGTTATTTGGATTTGATTTGATGAAAGCAAATAAGCACATTTCCCACGATGTTGAACTATTCCTTTTGATGTGATCTGACAATTTTAAATGTGCGTAATGTATGAAATAAAATCACACGGGATGTAATAACTTTTCACTGTGGTCCTCATGAGGTGTAAAGATGCCAAGGCTGATTAAGCAGAAAACACTGAAACTAATCCATCTTGAAAAAAAAAAAGCTTAACATGTGAAAACATGATTTCAAAGGAAAGTTCACTAGGTATATATTATGCAGTGGTTCTGTGATGTAAAAATAATAATAAAAAATAAAAAAAATTTAATTGAATTTAATCTGAAGTCATTCTGTCAAGACAAAACTGAATATTTTGCTCATTCATTACCCTGGAACAGTCTTGACCTCAGATTGCTTTCTAGAAACAGGTAATAAGATGTTATATTTCAGACATGATAGCAGTGAGTGAGACCTGAATATAACTGTTCCCATGTCAGTGGCAGCTGTGTGTTGGGTGGGGGGGCTAAGTGAGGAGGGCTTGTAAAAACATGGCAGCACAAGTGTGAGCAAGTGCCGGTAGTAGGAGGATGTGTTTACTCTGGCCGAGGTGTGAAAGACACTCTGCTGATCTGTGCAGCAGGTTTATCTGGATGTCAGACCAGAGTGCAGCAAACAGCACACACACACACACACACACACACACACACACACACACACACACACACACACACACACACATTGTCTCTGGAACTAATGCTTTAATGTGATCTAGTTTGACTTGAGTGAGATTTGGGCAATCAACTTAACTTAAATTGATGATGGATAGGTTATTAACATTTGAGGGGGTCTAGGATAACAGAATAATAGCTACATTCAAGTCAACAGTCAGTTCCTGTTTGCTACTTCCTGTTTCAACAATGTAGGTTAAGCGGTTCTGTTGAATTCTGTTGTGCTCTGCGAATGTCACTCTCTTACAATTAGAGGAAATTTACTGTCCACCCCTGGCTGACCCCTCTGGTTCCAGCAATGTTTCACACCTAGGGTGCAGAATGTATCCCCCTCACCTGCCACCTCACTCACTGACATACACACACAAATATATTGAAGCTTTCAACATATACCACACAAATTTGAGATACAACTTTTATTTATTTATTATTTATTGTATTATTTATAGTATTTGGTCTGTGTTGAATGTGAGGCAGTCCAAGAGTTGAACGTGGCAGTGGTCCTGGCAACACTTGAAGTAAAACACTTTAACCAACCTCAATGCCCACTCAGCAGAGCATCAGAGAAACCTCTGATGTAAGAACTTGCTCCACTCCTTAACATGCCTTTATTAGTCCACATTCATACATCTATTAATGTGACTTTATCATATCACTGAAGAGTGAACCGTTACACTATAGACCACCAACATTTGAGATTTTACAGTGAGTTGAGATGGAATTGGAATGACTGAAATGGGCGAAAAAGGAAAGGAAACACCAACAAATCTTAAGCTCTTAAGGAACTCAAGATACAGATAAGTCCCTTGAACTCTACTGGAGAGATTAAACAACTCTTGCAAAAGATATTCCCTCCCGTTGTTACTGTGAGGGTGGGGGTCGAGTATACTGTCTAACAAAATCCGTCATAGATGCTCAGTTGGGTTGAGATCGAAGGCCATAGTATTTGATTCACATCATTGTCATACGTATCAAATCATTCCTCCACTCCTTTATTCATGTCTTTTTCTTTAATTAGCCTGATTATAAAAACTGGAACCATCTTGTGGTCTTGACGTCTGACTGCAGCACTGACAGAAGTCATGGGCATGTTTGAAATATGCTCTCTGTCGGAGCTCGCTCAGGTACACTCGGCAGACTGTAAATCCCCACTGGGAGTTGCAGAAACTATTTTCACAGTTTCAGCAAGCTATTAGTTATTTCGCTTTGAATGAAAAACAAACACAAAGCTACCCTCGAGAGAATCTTCTTTTCCTTCCTTGCATTTATCTAAACCACTCATGGAAATTGCACTGAACCACTGTGCTTGTTATAGTTTCCCAAACGAGCCACACTGAGGTACAAACAGCAGGTTTTTTGTTACTGTAGCTGAAATCTATTCCCAGTGGAATACCTAAAAAGGCAAAGACAGAAATAAAAATTAATCATTACAATTGCATTGTGTTGCTAAATTTTCCTTATACTCGTATGGATACTTGTTTGCCTTTACATACAGTCATACTGTATATTCACTAAATTCATTACTACTACTAATTACTGACATCATTGTACACTACATGATGATCTTCAGCTTTCCTTGATGCATTTCTGATTCTTTCCCCTGATCTTTTTTCTTTGCTGTTTCACTATTTATCATGGCACCAACTCACAGGATCCACAGAAATTATGTCTAATTTGATTTTATTCCAAGCCGAGGGAGTACACTGGAGGTCGTGTTGGGGTTGATGGACTCAGGAGCCCCAGACAGGTGGCAGGCAGCCCAGCCTCAGAGCCCACTGTGGGTGTGCGTCCACCCAGAGGTGCCAAACTCCCAGCCAGGCTCCCACAGCCTCACCTTGGTCAGGGTGACTGGCAGGGTCGTACTGTGGGTTCAACCCCAGTTCACCCTGCCCTCAGCCTGACACAGCACACATCTTACCATTAGTTTGTTTAGTGGGGCATGTGTTTTATCTGAAATTGATTCAGCTACATTATACATATCATACACCTTACCACCTCACTATTCAACCTATTTTACATTATTTAGGGTCCCGGGAGGGCTTCAGTGTTCAGTGGTCAAAGGAGCACAAAGGGAATCCAAGCTGAATAACGTTCACACAAAAAACAGACAAACCAGACCGTTTTGTGTTTTATCCGATTGTTTCATTGAGTATTTTTGTAGTTATCTGCTTTTGTGCAAGCTCGTTCTGAATAAGGGACAATCAAACCAACCACAAAGTGCTAAAGTCCCATGGAAACTGAGGAACATCAGAACTGTGTCAAATAGTGATGGGATTGATGGGGTTTGGCGTTCCGGTGATTTAATAAACAACAAAGACACCAAGAAAAAAGAGAAATAACAGAACAGACAAATTCCCTCATAGCTCAAAAACGGGCTGCATGCAATCAGACAGGATAGAGAAAATACAGTAAAAGTACACTGACAAACAGGTACACCTGAGCAAATGTGTTTACGGGTGGTTTTCAGTTATATCACATTTAACACTGCATAGGTATTGGAGCTTAGAAGGTAAAGTTCGTGTCTGACGTTAATCCCCAATAAGCAGTGGATGAATTTTAGGAAAAAATATCAATATGCTACTTGAAGAATGCATTTTCTCTCATTTTCAAAGTAGCTCTAAGGCATCCAATACCGTCCATGTCAAAGTATCATAATGTGCTTTCATACTGCGCTAAAAGCTACAAAAGGTGGAGAATCTGAAAATCAATTTACTATTTCGCTATCAAAACACATCACTCAGACGTTGGAGCCAAACCTTTTCTGCTGTTCTACACACACAGAGAAAAACACGGAGAAACTCGGGGGAAAGAGGGGAGAGACGGAGAGAGGCTACCAGTGACAGTATTTCCCAGCATTCCTGGTTCTCACAGCTGAGGTGTGAAGTGACGCCTCCAGACTCATCAGTTCTCATCAGTGTGAAACCATCACACCTCTGCTTTAACTGGATAATACAGGTCATTATGCTTCATTAAATGTATTTACATTTACTACATTTACATTTTAGCCATATAGGACACAGGCTTCTATCCAGAAGCACATATGACAGAAGCAGCAGTAGAGGCTTCACTTCCAAGATGAAGATATAGAAAGTGAGTGATCAGCGATCACAGCTCACGCCTGGCTCACTCTGACTATAAAATGATCATGTTGGTGAGAAGTGGTGGGATATAAAGTGGAGGAGATCAAGAGAAGGGCAGAACACACTCATGTCAGGTTCAAGGTTGGAGTGAGGTGAGGAGAAAGAAGCAAGAAAAGGGACTTTCAACCTACAGTGAGGGCAGGATCATCTCTGCTTACTTAATAATAAGGAATCTCCTGACTTCCAAGACACTGACATGGTGATCTACATTTAACCGCAGGATTGTCAGTGCTCTTTTTACACACATCCCCTTATGTAAGAATGTAAGAATCTTTTTTTTTTTCTCAAGCACAAAACACTCTGCTGGCCCCATTTTTATTTTACAAAATGTTCTGTACTGGGCCCAGAGTGGAGTGGAATCATATCTTGACACTGACACTAATCCCACACTCTAAACTCAAACTTTCATTTAAAAAAAACCCACCATAACATAAAAAGTCCTAAAAGGTGTGTTTATAGTAGCACCACTCATGTCTATGTTGTTTGGCAATGGAAATCTAGAATCATTCATCTCTCCGGAGATGAAAAGGTGAAAGAAATACACATTACTGCAGTATTCTTGTAATAATAATTGTTAACATTAGACCAGTGGTTCTCAACCTGGACTCCAGGCAATTGGCACATTAACACTCTTTGCTGTTAATGTGTCAGTCTACAGTATAGATAGTTGTGCAATAACTAAATCTTATCATATGGGGATCCCTGAGACTACATCTTATCAAATATGGGTGTGCAGCCTGACATGTGATCAGTTTTGGGGCCCTTGACACCACAAAGGTTGAGAACCACTGCATTAGAATTCTAAATTAATCCATTGAATCTGGAAAGTGTAGCTGTCAGATAAATGCAATATATAGTAATGCAATATAATTGTATTTTAGTGAACAAACTTGTTCCCCATGTTTAGATCCTGTGATTCTGTGCTTGGATTTTTATGCATTGCTTCTATAGATTGATATGTATTTAGTTGTAATCAATCTGAAATCTATACTGAGTTTCATGTTTCTTTTCCTACATTTTAAACACAAATTGTGAATGTTTATGATGGTGGTGACTTTATTGGTGGTAGGATTTAATTTGAGAAAAGTCTGTGCAGAATCAAGTGATGGTTATATTTGGTCAGAAGTTGGAAACAATACCTAAACAATACTTTCCTATTATGTTATCCAGTATGCTGACTAGTGTCTTTGGCTTTGGCGAGAGAAATCAGTTCATTCAAAACAAACCCAGTCGCTTACACATGTGCAAAATGCATCTGGGTTGCTTCAGGCACAAAATCCCAAAAAGCAAAAACTGTTTATTGTTTTGAGCAGGAGTCAAAATTCACACTTCCACTCCTGTAGCTGAACTTTCCCAGACACAGAGGAGAGGGAGAGGTACTGACAAGCTCCCAGTGAGGGAGTGGGTGTGTGTGTGTGTGTGTGTCAGGGGCCTCTGCTTTAGACAGTGACGGTTTGTGAGAATCTGCGGAGGTGTCAACTTCACACCTCTGTGGCCTGGCCTGGACTTATAAACCAGTGCAACAGAGCTGAGCAGCACTCACAGCATCCCAGTCTCTCCAGTCAGACCATTGAGACCCTCTACACAACATGGATACCTCCTCAGTTCCTATGCTCAACTACGGCCTGCAGTACCAGTGGTGCTCCGACTCTGACCTCTCTAGCATGTCTTCTTCAGAAACCCTCTCTCCTGTCCCCTCTATGGACTCCAGCCTTTCTCCTTCCTACCAGCAGCTTCCACAGTCCACTCCTAAGGCAGCTAAGACAGGATATTCCCAGACTTTCAAATCCTCACCGTGCTCCCTGTCTGGACGAGGCCGGAAAACGGGCCGAGCCACCCGGATCCGCAGCAAGCAGAGGGAGAGCGCCAGCGAGAAGGAGAAGATGAGGATGAGGGATCTGACAAAGGCTTTGCATCACCTCAGGTCCTACCTCCCGCCCTCGGTGGCGCCTGCCGGACAAACTCTGACAAAGATAGAGACCCTCCGACTCACCATCCGCTACATCTCCTACCTGTCGGCCCAGCTGGGCCTCAGCGAGGAGGCGCTGTTTCAGAGGAGGGAGCAGGGAGACACCTCGGCCAGTGACACCTCCTCACCTGACATCCTCAGCTACTTCCAGCATGGCTCCATGGAAGTGCAGGAGGCCCAGCTGCAGAACCAGAGCCTGAACCAGGGCCTGTACTCAGCCCAGTATCACAGCCAGAACACCATGCTGCATTCTGGGAGCTGTAGCTTTGGAATGGATCAGTACATTGAAACTCCTCAGAGAGACATGTGCTTGGATACCATCCTGCAGTCACCTCCAGCAACACAGCCCTCCTGTCAGGTATGTGAACATTCACTCATGAATATTAAATACGACTCCCTATTTATAGGATTTACACATCTTGCATCTTTTTTGAAATAAAAGAACAAAATGCTAATCAAATTTCCTCTTGATCTTTTAATACAGATGTGTGGCAAAGACTTCTGCATGCCGTTGGTTCCCAGAGAGTATTGGGGTTAAACACTCCAGCACTGTTCCATCAACATCCAACAACAGACACAAACTACTTCTCTGTTTTTACTGCCTCACTGTGAAACAAGTAATTTATTTGAAATGTATATGCTTTTCTACAATTTATTTATTTTGTACTGTGAAATGTCCCATGTAAATATTCATATGTCACAATTATTTTTATATTTCTTTATACCACTATTTATAATAAAATATTAAAATGTCTATATCATGTTTTGTCATCATTAGAAGCCTTGTTCCCATGATGCATTTCACTGTCTCTCATTCACCATTCAGATAGGTATTATGTGTGTTCTTTAGGTTTGGAAACTGTGGCTCAAAGTTGAGAGTAAAGGGATTGTCTAGATATAAGGGGATATTCTTGAGCAAGACACTTAATCTCATGGTTGTACAGTGTGTTTGTGAATTTACCTAAAAGAATATCAGGCAGGATAAAGTTGGCACTGAGGAGAAAATTCTGCAGAGCGCCCTCTGCTGGTCATAAAGACACGGTAGCACCCCACAACATCAACAGTGGCTTCTGGATAAAAACTTCACCGTTGTTAGTAGTGTCAGTGTGAATCATACAAATACACAAGTACCATAAAATGCCTCCCCATGATTTTGTTTTGTAATTTATCATTATTATGTTATGTTATTGTGTAGTTATTGATTTTAAAGTGGTCATAGTTTATATTTTCACTATAACAATGTATTAAATGACAATGTGAAAGGTGTCACATGCTGATTAATTTAATTAGCACCTGAATTTGCAGCTTGCTCGGCTTTACAGTGCTTTAGAGTGAGTTTCAGCTGTTTTCAGAGAAAAAGCTCTGGAAACCCAGCAGACACTGTGTGCTCAGCAACAGGCAAAGTCACCAACGAGCATTTAGAAGCTAAAGAGTGAGTTATCTCCTTCAGGAGTTGGTGGAGGGCAAAAAGAGAGCTAAAAGTCCACGAGTCCGAGTAAATGATAATGTTGCTGGATGTGTAAATAAGTGTTTGCTAACAGGTTGGTCATATACATTTAAAAGGCGATATATCTGTATTGTGCTGATAACTTGATTCTGCTGCACCCAAATTAATCAAAAGAAATAATTTATTGCAGATTCAATAGTAGTTATCTTGTACCCTTGAGTTAATATATGATTGTATAATCATTTGAAATTCTAACTGAACACAACTGATGTCACTGAATGTCACAGAAGCTGTCATATGGAGACTGAACCCCCTTAACATACACATCACCTCCTTGTTACATCTCAACTAGCTTTAAGATTGTTAAAGGATAGCATCAAAAAATGTCAAGTCTGTTGTAAAACAATAGTCATATGAACACTGAAACAGTTTTTGCTTACTGTAATCGTTCCTCCATCACCATTAGGAAGTACCCACCTCACTAACTTATCCTTTCCTTCACCACTGAACGTTGTTACAGTACAGCTCTTCATTGAAGCTACAGCATATGACGTTTACACAAAGTGACATATTCAACTCTAAAATAATGCCTGCATCATTCAGTCACATGGGAATATTCTAGGTGTGTCTCTGAGCCCAAGATAAATTTCACCAAGGGGACAATAAAGTACATTTATCTTATCTCAAGATAATAACAATTACCTTATCCCCAAATCTTTCCTGTGAGCAGCTTCACTGTGAACAATCTAATAAAGAAAAAATACCAACCAGTGATTAAAAAAAAAAGTTCACGAGGTCACTTTCATGCATATTTCCCCACAAATTCAACCTGAAGAGGCCTTTTTCACAGCAGACATTCTGACTTGTCATAGTAGAAAAAGCACAGGTGTAGCTAATACAGGTGTTAATAATGGATCTGTTCTATTCAAGGGCCCTTATAAGCTGTGACAGTGAGCCATCATGTACAATACTAGGACTGTGAAGCTGAAGCAGTTAATGTAATCCATGATCATTATATTATTTACACATTTGCTTTTCCTTCTGTAAGATGTCAGCAGGTCACAATAAAAATAACTATTAATATAAATATATGAATAAATGGAATTTGTATTTTACAAAAATCCATATAGTTCTAATATGCAACAGGTTGAAAATATATTATATTATGTAACACATTAATGTTTTTTGCAAGGTTGTCTGTGAAATGTTTGTGTTTACATATCAATATGCTCTCATATCCACAAGGAGATAATACAACCACTCCCCATGTCCTACTAAAACGACAATAATTCTACAGCAGATGATGAATATGACGTGAATATTATTGGATTGCCGTATTAGATAACATAAATACCGTAAACATGGGATCAGGTATCACCAAGTGGGAGCTACAGAGACATAAGCCTTTCAAGAAACATAGTAACTTCCTCTTGTGGTCTAATGCATGTGAGAAATAAGTAGCCTGTCCCAGCAGACCAGAGATCAGCCTTTGGCACAGGTTATCTAGTTTATTTAGTGTATCTTTGTTAATGGGGCTCTGCAAACACTCAGAGGTCCTTGGCACCGCTAAGTCTAGACTATGATATAAGCACCTCGCTACTCTTTCCCCCATTCTCTCACCTACAGCCCTAATTACCTGCTAGAGCCAACAAAGAGGGCTTTAATATTCATAGAGAATAGTGGATCTGCATAGCAGGCAGGAGAATTAGGCCCGAGTGTTTAGTTTGCCACATACATGCAGTTCATTTGAAATGCAAGTAGCATAAAGCCTAATACACTCACTTAGGTCTTTCATCACAGAAAAGCTAATAAACTCTCTGGGCTGAAAGGGTTTGGGATGAAAGGGTTAGCATTGCTGTGCTGATTATTCACTCATTACATGTGAGTAAACACCATCAGAGCTAATGTGGATTAAGAGAGGTAAGATCCTCTCTTTCATCAGCCCGGGAGGGGGAGAAGAAAGTTGACAGCTGGGGAGATTGTGCTGGAAATGGTGGAAAATAATGATCTGTTAATAGTTCATCATTTGAAACAAATTATATGAACAAAGTTATTTCCCCAAACAATAAAAAAATACATACTCCACCAAAGCAATTGTAAAAGCTTCAAACTTTAATCAACCAAAGACTAAAGAGCTAGGATTAGTTGTGATAGCAATCAGTCATTTTATATGAGTGTCAGTCTGTATCAGATGATAGGAACTTCATTTAGAGTGTATTGAGTTGAGTTTTTGTTTCCAGTGACTTCCAGTGGGAACTAGTCCTTGGGTCAGCTGTCAAGCCTGGTGTTACCTCTCATGCTTTCCAACTCAAGACAAATAAAGAAAAACTAAACCTAAAAAGAAAATTGCTTTTAAAAACTTAGAATGTCAAACATTGAATGAGATTCCAATCCTTGCTGATATTTTTCTTCATTCAGATGTCTGTTTTTCTTGCATAACTGTGGAAGGTGGAGGGCTGTGTGAGACTGGTTCACACGTCCTACTCATAGGTTTCACCTCTGATGCAGAGCAGGAGTCAAATGTGACACGGTGGTTTGTGGGAACGCTCCTTGGGACTCAGATCCACGGTCAACACCTGACAATAAAATCCAGAGATATCAGAGAGAATCCAGTAATCTGCTGATGCCTTCAAAAGTAAATTAAATGAACTGTGTGACTGAATAGAAAACTACCACTCAGTTTAATATTGTCATTTCGGCTCAGATATTTACCGTCCCACAAGGGAAAATTCTAGAAAATAAGGTAATTGAGGATTCTTGTCTCAAACATATATATTCACATAGATAAAAAAACACAGAGAATATTGCTGATTCTATGAGGGATCAACTTCCTGTCAACACTAACAACATTTAGCCACCACACAAAATATAGCATGTTTTGCATGTTAGTGTATTAAATTTACTTCTTGCTGTTTCAAATGAAACAGTTTTAAGAGACAACACATACAGTAACAACATTTTTGACCAAAAAGGTATAAAAAGAAAATAAAGGAGAGACGGACAAATTAAAATATATTTTAAGAACAACTTAAAGCAAAACATTTGCAAAGGTATTTGAAAAGGTTGATATAAAGTGAAAAATATAAAGTGGCAAATCAAATATCCGAAAGAAGACAAAATAATACATCATGTCATCATTTACACAAAGAATAATGATCACTCCTCTTAACTCAGTTTGCTCTTATGAAAACTCCTGTACTGCCAATAATGCAACTTTTTAAGCACTTCTCTCCAACATCATAATTACTCAATCACAGAGACATTAACTGGATTATTTGTAATGTTAGCAATCTAGAAATATGAAATGTGTTGGTAGTTATTGGTTCTGCACATTCTTTCTGTGCGGATCGGGTTCATGCATGAGCCTGTGAGGCCTACTGCTGTCCAAACAGGACAAGGTGTAAACTCCTCACACCTCACAGCTGCCCTGGCACACTTCTTCAGCTTGACCTTGTAGGGGATACCAGCACTTAACTTCAACTTTTACTGTATATGGATGATGATGGGACTTAGAATTGGTTTCAATTTTATAAGGAGTACGGCCTAAACCTACTCTATTTGAAGCTTTTTCTGAGATAAATTTTGTTGTGAATTGGAGCTATACAAATAAAACAGAACATAATTGATTTCTTATTGTTTAATTCAGTCAGCCATAAAGTAATATTAGATTATTGGATACAATCTAGATCTCTACTTCAAATTCCTCAGGTTTTGGAGACAGGTTGTGTGACCCAGGTACAACCCCTGTCATGGCAGGGTCATGTTCCCAGGCTAGGAGCATATAGTGTGAATTTGTCTACTTTTTGATGCCTGTGCGAGCTGCCTGTGTCACACCTTTGGTCTGGACCTGGCCTGTTTCCCATGGGACCCCCTGGTCTAGGTGTCAGCCCTGCTCCCAGAGCTTCTCAGGAGCAGAGGTGGCTGCCGGAGGTGTAACCTCGCACCTCCCACCACATATATGGAGCAGCCTCCCTGGTCCTCCTCACTATCCTCTGCCTGCCTTACCAGCAACACACTGACAGATCACTGCTCAGGGAAGAGCTTACAAGCACCGCACCGACTACAACTACAACTACAACAGCAGCTATGGAGATGTCCTACTGCTCTCCTCTCCAGCTCCCGGAGAACGCTTTCCTGTTTGACTGCGAGTCCCTGCTGGACAAGTGTTATGATCCTCAGGCCTATGATCCAGCCTTGGACCCTGGTTACGTCAGCGCTGGTAGCAGCCTGTCTCCCACCTCTTCTGTGGACTCCTTCTGCTTCTCTCCCACCTCCCTCCAGGCCTCCGGCAACGAACAGAGCGCTTTGGACCGTTTCATCTTCAACAGCTCGGCAGCAACTTGTCAGTCCCACGAGACACAGACTCTGCCCTGCTCCAGATCTTCCACAACCACCTCCACCACCAAGAAATCCAGGTCCAGGTTTCCAGGGAAGAAGCGCCAGACAGCCAGTGAGAGGGAGAAGCTGAGGATGAGGGATCTGACCAAGTCCATGCATCACCTCAGGAAATACCTGCCATCCTCGGTGGCACCAGCCGGACAGACCCTGACCAAGATTGAGACACTGCGCCTCACCATCCGCTACATCTCCTACTTGTCGGCTCAGCTGGGCATCAGCGAGGAGGCGCTGGAGCAGAGGAGATCCTCAGGCTTTGTGGAGCAGCCCCAAACCCTCAACCAGTTCTTGGGTCAGCCAACAGCCAGCTACAGCTCACAAGAATCAGACTGTAACACCATGAGCTCAGCCCAGCTGTCCTCTCTGCAGCCCTCATATCAGGTATGTTCATAACACAGTCACAAAATGAAAGAGAATTTGCTCTTCACTTGCCTTGTTTTTTCATAACCTTCATTTACAATGGTTTTCCAGAGTGTTACGGTTGAACAAGTTCATGACCAAAGTCTCTTTTTCTGTCATCAGGTTTCTAATGGAGTGTGCTTCACCAGCGAGCACTACTGGATGCCACAGCAGCAACTACAAAATACCTTCTCTGGACAGTGCTGAGGGATATGGCGACAAAGACTATTTTCATTGCAACAATGACCTCTAACCACATTTATGTACAAAACTTCTCATTTTTGTTATTTTGAACAAAATGCCTGATTTTTGTTGAGTGTTTTTGTATATAGAACTGTATATTTATTGATTATTATTGATTTCTGTGACCAGAATAAACATTATTTATCAAATTTACCTTTGAGTTTGTTGCATTCATCCAAATGAATTTGTTGTTGGTTTTCTATTTCTGTGATCATTTTTACAAACTAAACTCATGAAATCATACAGACTTGGTGCTTGGCCTTCCCTTCCTTACACAAACACTGCAGCTGTCAGCAGGACAATGAGGTGCTAAATAGGGAGCACATCCCCTCTAAAGTCCTTAAGGAAAGACCCCCACTGAGAAGTGGCAGCTGAACTAGGACCAGTTAACTGGCACCTTTTTTATCCTGGGTAAACATTGCTGGTGGTTGAGACCCTGAAAGAAAACTTGTGAAAAAATAACTGGCTCAGTTCAGACACTTGGCCAAAAAGTCGGTGGAGTTTTATTTCAATCCCAGTTCTGATTGTTGGAAGATGTGTCTATATATGGCCCAGAACACAATATGGGCAAAGACAGGCAGTATATTAGTCACTGAAGATGGCTATTTTACACTGTTGCTATGTCAACACTGTAATCTGTTATGTTGGCCAGATGCCTGGAGCTGCTCTGCTTACAATAACTGAGACTATATTCAGTCTGGTATTTTACATTCAAATAAGTTTTGTTTTTCACAGTGGTGTCTGCAGTTCTGAACACTAACTGTGCTCACAACCTTTGCAAAATTCCCACAGTGGTCTCAATCAATGTTAAGCTATAAATATGCAAGCTCATGTAAAGTGCTTTATAAATGTGGAGGTATAAAGTGTCCCAATTTAATATGGCTTTTATTTCAACTGGCATCAACAGTAGATCTAGAGTATGGGGATGCAGTCTAGTATGCAGAGATTATTGTGTTAAAATTCCAATAAAAATCTTTCAAATGTTGACACAGTATTAAAAACATACAAAACCAGATTTTGGTATCAAATAGTCTTTATTCATAAAAAGGCTTAATCAAAACTTTACATTTAAAAAAGTTCTGTCACATTCAGAACATTCATAATAACAATAAATTTGGTTCCAGGTGGACTAAAAGTCAGTAGAAAAATCTACATTTGATAACTGCATAGTGGAGAGTGTTAAACTGGAGACATTTCACTGATGAACCATTCAAACACCTGTTTCTTGTTCATGGCCACCCAGTTAATGTTGGCCTTGGTCCTCTCTAGCGCCTGCTCAAGAGACGCAGCAGCCGAGCCGAGCTGCCCTGCATTGTCTTCTTTGAACTGCAGCAACTGAAGACAAATGGGAGGAGGGGGGTTACTGGGATTCAAATCTGCATGAGGAGTACATCACTAAAAAGTATAAGCATAACAATATATATATTTCAGATTCAGACATGAGAATTAAATTTGCCCCCATATAACAACACTTAGATACAGAGTTTAGACTTTGTACTGTACCTGATGTAGTGCAAACATTAGTCTAGTTATTCATATTAAATTGTCAATATGAAATGAAACATTGGGTGAAAACAACAACAAATATTAGTGAGACTGTACCTGCTTGTACTCAAATTCAGTGGAGAATCGTTTGGTCGCTCCATCAATTAGTCTACCAAAGGAAAATGATCCACCACCATAGCTGAAAAAAAGGCAAAAACAAGACAGGCTTTGATCATTTTGCAAACAATTACAGGTTGGGTAACCAAAGCTGGTCGGACACTCAGATTGCAAGAATACACGTCTACATCTGTAAGGCTGTAGTCAGGCATAGTGGTGCTTTGAGCTAAATGCTAATGTCAGCATGCTAAAATGCTCTCAGTGACAATGCTAGCATGCTAATGCTTAATAAGTATATTTATTTTATTTAGTAGAAATATTAACCAGCTTCGTCATCTTAGTTCATTTGATATTAGCCAAGGATTGGAGGTTGAAGGGAATGCCATTCGTATTGTGGGGATTTGGTCATAAATCATATTATTGGACAAAGTAACATTTTGACAGTATCAGAATCATCAGGATTCATTCACCACTGATACCTGTACCAAATGTGTTGGTAATCCATCCATTTGAGATATGTGAGTTTGGACCAAAGTGGTAGACTGCCAAACCCAGACTGGGTTTTTAGTCTGGTAGTGTTGGTCCTTGAATGCAAACATTTCTAAAATATTTTGACATGTTTAACCCTGACACTGCATTCCTATTCCAGCTTTACTGTGACCATATGATGGCATATACATGCATGCACCAGGGAAAACTCACTCATTGAATATATGGGCCCAGTTGGCTCTGACAAAGTCCCATGCCAGAGGCTGGCCGATGGGGTTACCAGCAATGTAAACAATGGTGAAGGTGGCATCCTGCTTACGGATCTTCTCTGGGTCCAGACAATACTCCAGATACCTGAAACACACTCACTGTGAGGACAAAAGCCTAATGGGACAAATTTTCTACTCGCTGCAGCAAAAAAAGTTTGATCTAAAAACATAAGTATAAAAGGTCCTTGTTATTTCATCATGCACTCAAAGCATGCTGCAGAGATTGTCCATAATGTGCACAGTAATAGTGCTACAACTGACCTGTTGAGCAGCCAGGGCTGTTTGGTGCAGGACAGAGCATACATGAGTTTATCAGCTTCGGAAGCAATGGTGGCATTCTTGTACATGGACCAAGCAAAGTCCCACTCCTCCACTCCTCCTGCTGCGATTGCACTGCAGTACACTGTGGACCTCAAGTTGGGACTAATGCTGGAACGATTAATAAAGATGACAGAGAGTTAAAGGCAATGACGGCTGTGAAAGAATCAGGGAGGTCAAATAAGAGATGATGAAATGGAGGACAGGAAGAAGAATATAGAAGTGGAGAGCATAGAAAAGAAATGGAAAGAATGAAAGGAAAGTGAACATACTTGTTGTTAGCTGGCTTATTCATCCACTCTTTGAACCAGCCAGTGGTCAGCTCCTTACAGCCTTTCACTCCAGTGCTGCAGGCTAAGGAGATTGCATTCACCTGGTTGTACCTGGACATGACATGATACAAGGGTCAGAAGAATGTTAAAGAAGGGTTCGACTGTGCCCCTTTCGAGTAGTATGGGAGGTACTCGGGTCCCCATGTGTGAGATGGGTCACTTTAACAGTGTTTTGTTAACTTACTGCCAGATATGAAAACAGTCACATTTATCTGCTTAAGACGACAAATAGTGTGAAACATAGTACAAGAAATGGAAATAAGAAGGAAAGAAAGACTACATGGTTTTTAACACTTAGTTAGCTGATAACTCTGGTACAGTTACTTCATAGACACTGACATAAATTCATCATATACAACAAGCTAATCTTTAATATGAACTTTTCTGCATTAAAATATCTATAAACACTACCTATGTTATATATATTTTTAAGTTGTGAATTAACATCATCCCAAATGTTTCCAACAATTTTAAAACCCAGAGAAATCAGTCATTTTATTCCAATAACGGTGCATTCTAACCGGTGTCTGTCAAAGTGTCACAACCGCTTTGCGCATACATCAGCCAGAAGCTGTCATAAATTGATTGTTATCCAGCTTTAAGCGTGTTAACAGTAATGAAGAAGTCCATTAAAGCTCTTGAGTGTTGACTCGTGATGAGGTGAACAATGTCATTCAAACTCACTTGGCATCAAGAAAAACCCACACTTGAAAATGCAGACTTTCAGTAGGACTGCAGTGAAGTTTTCCAGCAGTGAGAATGTAAGTTGGGAGTAAATACAAACTCAGGAGATATATATTTCTAAGATAAGAGTAGATTGGAGTGAAAGCATGAAAGAGATAGTGGAGACAGGGACACAGTGTGGAGAAGGTTATGTGAGGTGCAGCAAGAGAAGATGCAGAGTTTTATGAAAGAGGAAGAGTAAAAACTTCAGGAATTATTTAGTTGGCCCAGGGGATGATTAAAGCTTCATCTAATCTACATTGCATTAATCCACAGAGATATGGCTTACTGTGGCTTAGTGCAATGTAAATTGTCAATCGAAAAAAAAGTAAAGTAAGATATTAATTTGATTCTTTGTAAATTATTCTCTTGTCAGAGTTAGACTCAGCTCTTGGGGGATTAGTAGGACAAAAATCAGCAACGATACCATCATGGTTCCTCTTAACAATAAATACTACAATATAATGCAGTTTTAATGGTTACAAAGTCTGCACTTCTACTTGTCATTTTAGCACCCAAACACACAAACTGGGGTCCGATCTTCAAGTTATCATTGTGACAGGTTAAGCTAATGTATCAGCCAAATCCTGCTACAGTGATTGTCCCAACAACAGTGAACATATAGACATGGCGTAAAACAGACGTGTTAATGTCCTTACTGGTCAGTGTGCTTTTCTGGGATCTTTGTCCAGTTGAGCGTGAGATCTTTGAAGTGGTTAAACAGAGGAGTGACCTGTTTCTTAATGTAAGCCTGAGGGAAGAAGATACATGTTTTGTTAACTTGTATTTCTGTTTGAAAAGAGCAATGTGTCATCAAAAATGATTAACTCTTAATTGAGTCATATTCAATATATTCAATATTGTTTTTGAGGATTGGAATTAACAAAGTCTACCAAATGTTGACCATTCATCACAAACCTGCATGGGTCCATACACTTCACTGCGGTCAAACATGAGGAAGAAGTAGTCCAAGTTGCGACTGGCTGTCTGCCAAGGCATGTATTCGACTTCTTTATCAAGGAACTTGGTAGTCCTCAGAGCCAGAGTTGTGTTCACAGTCTTTGCCCTGAAAATGGCACATAAAATTACCCTGCTCTCTCCTTCAATATCTGACAACAATGTTTTGCAAAAAAATATGGACTCACCTTGCGAGGTTAAAAGCATCATCGATAATTTGAGCTCGGTTGATCACTGGAATTTCCTGAAAGTGAACAAGGACATGTCAGAGGAAATGCTTTTAGAGACACTGCAGAAGAAATGCAGCATAATTTCAAGAGGTGTTGTACCGTATGACTGGAGCTCAGTTTGTTGAGGAGACGCTCCCAGTTTTCAGAGTCGTAGTTGACTCTGTAGAAGCCCTTCATATTTATGTTGGCTACCAGCCAGTCATTAGTACCAAGTTTTACGTCTGAGTTTATAT